CCACCTCCTGGTGAGGCTAGGAAATGCTTGTAGTTGACAGTCTTTGTCTAGGTTTTTCTTGCAATGACTTTTAGGGTTAACAGTTTGGAGTCTGTTATGTTTTCTCTTTATTTTTCCTCTTTGGTACTAGATTATGAAGTTTGGATGAGAACTATGAGGGTGTGATGAGTTGGAGTTAGGTTCTAATACTAATTTTTGTAGGATAAAGACAGGTTGAACACAATACTCAGAGAAAATTTATTAATAACCAAAACTAAAGGTCCCATATCTCAATAATCAAATCAATAACTCAATATTTGCATGATAGTTATATAAATAGTCCATCAAATCATTAAAATAGGTACCTGTTTATAGATATCAAATTACTGTCATAATAGGAATTCTCAAGTCTATTTAGAAATTTCTACTAAATAATGGGGAATAACTAAATAAGATCCTAATTAAATAGGAGGTAGTAAATTCATACCATAACCAAGCCTATAGATATAGTTCCTAAATAAGATAAACATTTTAACAATATATAAACACTAAAATTATATAGATATATCTTTGTATTGAAATTTGTTCACTTAGAATCATGTTGTCCAAAACATTGCCTGCCTTGCAGTTCCGCAAATGGTTTGATGATGCAGTTGCTCGTGGATTGAAGGAACCAAATGCTATGGCTTTGTCAACTGCTGGCAAGGATGGAAAACCGTGAGTTCTCTGCTTTGAATTCATTGACTGATAATGTTTGAGATTCTTCTAATAGTGGAACTATATGATGGTTATGAGAAGTTTCAAGATAGATTTTGTTAAAGATGCTTTTCTGGTTTTTTCATCTTTTTGTGGACTCAAAATGATAACTTATTTGGTTCCAAGGACCATTCAATTCCACCTTTAACTTGAATTCTTTGGCTGATGGATTTCAAATTTCTAGCTACTAAAGTAAGAATTAGAAATCCATCCACAAATATAAAAGTGCAGTTGATTCAGAAATGAAAATTACGATCCAATTTTACATGCAAAGTTCTAGTAATTAAGTACAAGAATATGGTAGGAGTTTAATGGAAATTGATCAAACAGAGAGTGAGATAATATTGGAATAATAGATTAATGCAAGGCTCAGGGGAAATGACATGTGAAAATTTGTTAACTGGATTATATATTGTTATATATGGCTTGTGATTATAATGGTGCATTCTTGCTGTCATTAAAGTCATAACGTTATTATTCAAACAGCAGGAGAATTGACACATGAAAAATTGTTAACTAGAGTATATATTTTGTCATAATATTTTGGATTAGAATGGTGTATTAGTCATTAAATTCCTAATTTCATATTTCAAACAGATCCTGATTACCGGTAGTACAACATATGTGAATATCAAGATGCTATCTTTATTGTTGAAATATAGGTACTCATTGCATATGGAGGTTCTGCAGTTGCATCCATCCTCATTTATTTATTTTTTCTTCATGCTTATCACAAGGCAACACACAGCCCAACTCCCTTTTGCAGAAAGAGAAAAAACACTATTCACTTCTTGAGGGTGTTTTCATCATTTTCTACTTTGTTTCTTATGTTGGTTTCTGGTTTTGAGAGGATTAAAAAGACAACAAGAAAAGAATTAGTTTCCTGATTTTAAAAGGTTGCAGTTTTAACTTTTATAGGTTTTTAGAATTCAGAGTTTGAATGAATGAGAAAGCTTATTTGTTCAGTTCCATTTCCTTTTTCTGTTAGTTTGTTTCTTTCCTATATGCACAAGAAGGTATCCTGATTTCCAATATATTATCAACTTCTTTGAATAAACAGATATAAAGACATGTCAAAGTGCTCCACTTAATATTCTTTCCATTATTTAAAATGTTTGTATTAATCTCATTTTTTTTCTCAGTATTATCGTACCAAGGAAGTAGTTGAGCTTTTTAATTCACTCTGTTGACCTTTGCTACAGCTCATCAAGAATGGTGTTACTAAAAGGATTCGACGAGGATGGATTTGTCTGGTTGGTTTTGCCATTATTAATGTGCTTGTGGATTAAGTTGCCAGTCTTTTCTTTTTTCTGCATATTGTCCTTAATCTTTCTTCTACGTTCACCTAAATCCAGGTACACCAATTACAGAAGTAGGAAGGCACGTGATCTGTCTGAAAATCCCCATGTTTCACTTCTTTTTTACTGGGATGATCTTAATCGGCAGGTAATGTTACTTTCCATTGTAAACTATCTTGATCTTTGTCAACAATTAATATGATTTGTGACTTTTAGGGAATTTTTAATATTCATTTGAAAGTGATGGTTATGTGTTATACCTGTCATCATTAATTAATAACATTATAGTTCATGAATCGCATATGCTTTAGCTGCTGTAGCCCCCTCTTGTTTCCATATTGGAAAATTTGGGATCTAGCCTTGCATTGCCAGCTCATTATTCATGCCATACGCATCTAATTGGTACTGCAAAAGTAAGATAATAATAACCTTAAATCCGAATCGTTTAATAACCATATCATGATTTTCAAATCCAAAAACCAATATTTTTATAAATGGGTCTATCTATTTACATGCATATAACCTGTTTATTGAGTTAGATTAGTTATTTCAAACCAATTTGATATGTTTAACCCAATTGTTATTTCAAAAAATGTTTAACCCAATTGTTGAGTAGATAGTATGATTCAATCAACAGAATTCATATCTGGTATGTTTTATCTGTAATATTATGAAATAATTGTAAAACTCCAAACATCATGCATAATTCAAAACAAATTAATAATCTAAACGCTAATTAATAAATTATTTATTTCACCATCATTAATCATATTATTGGTATTCTCAGCATAATTAAAATAGAAGATTTGCAATTAGTAAATATGGACAAGTCATTATTTGTTACATTATCACTGAATGTATTTAAATTTTTTATCAGCTTAGTCATTATTTGTTGCATTGTCAATGTATTTAAATTTTTATGGGATTAAATGATTTTGACTGTATCTAAACAAATTAAGTGGGTTTAACAGGTTTAACGTGAATATTATCATTTCTAGACGGTTTAACTTATTTGTTACTTCAAACTGATGACAAGTATACTTTATATTCATTCTAAATGTTGCAATCGGTACAGGTCATTGAGCTGATCATGTCTTAGAAATTACATCTTTTCCAAACTCAACTTTTGAAGCATGCTCCACCTGAAAGCGGCACACATCAACCTTAAATGCAATTTTTCCGTTTCCAGTAAATTTTATTTGTTACTTTAACTCTGATTTCCAGGTAAGAATTGAAGGATCTGTCCAGAAAGTTTCAGATGAAGAATCTGAACAGTACTTTCATAGCCGTCCTCGTGGAAGTCAGATTGGAGCAATTGTTAGCAAGCAGGTTTCTTTTACTTTCTTTTTTCTTGGAAAGGTATAAGGTTATTTGCTTGCATGAACTCTGATCAGTTACTTCCAACAGAGTTCTGTTATTCCTGGAAGGCAAGTTTTGCACCAACGATACAAAGAACTAGTAGAAAAATACTCTGATGGGTGAGTTGATCAAATCTTGTTAACTCATTTGGTTAAAATGTTTATACTGGTGCGAGTGCCTTTTGTATTTTCAAGTTTATTAGGTGACCTTGTGTGATTTACAACTTGACATCTGAAGAGTTCACCATGAAAAGCCAAGAATGTTCTAACTTCCTCAGATGAATTTGGAAAAATATCATTTCTTTCTTTTATGTGCAGAAGTTTGATTCCAAAACCTATATATTGGGGAGGATATAGGCTTAAACCACACCTTTTCGAGTTTTGGCAAGGACAGCAATCTCGTTTACATGACAGGTAATATTTTGTTATTGACCAAGGAAAAGGGGGTTTTGGGGTTCCCATTCCCAGTTGTGCTCACCATGCCAGGTTTTAAGCTTTCTACAGTGGTTTAATGTGAGGATTAAAATCAGCTGTAGAGTCAAATTTGAGATTGAGTTTAGTTGGATGAAAGCATGGTTGATAAATTGAAGTTACACTTGCATGTGTTATTTTCTTATTGCTAATTATATTTGCTCAAGTTACATTGATTGATTATCACTATGCTAAAAATAAAAGTTATCTCAGGTTAGTTATTAGCATAACCTGATCAGATTGAATTTCTATGCAGAAGCACTTGCAAGCATGTTATGATTTTTTTTGTCTATAATAACTAAAAATTATTAGTAAAATGGCTCTGTCGGTGATCATATGAGAATCACTGGGTTCTCTCCCGGTAAGATTGAAGAAATGTTGTTGATGTTGGCTGACGGTGATGATACATGCACACTTGCTTGACAGGTTATTATATTCTCCACGAGAGATCAATGGAAAACGAGTGTGGAGAATGGATAGGTTGGCTCCCTGACTAGTATTCGCAGCTTCCTCGTTGTGAGTTGGATCAATTAGAGATTGATGGAAAAGTGAGTAGAGAATTGGTAGGTTGACTCCTTTATTAGTATCCAGCTGCCTCACTGCGAGTATATCAATGTGGTATTCCCGCCATTCATATCTTTTTTTTTTCTCATGTAGGAAGATGCATTTATGCGCTCCCCTGATAGGCAGATCTCAGGATTTGTCTGGTACACATGAAAAATATGATTGTGCTGAATCAATAATGTGGTCTCAAATTTAGTGATTGGGGAAATTTTCAGTTGAATGGGTTGATTGTTGTATATCACATCATTGTTGAGGCAAAGAGAACAGTTCTTTCCTCTCAAATTTAATATTTTCAGGTCTTCAGTGGAGTGCTGTACATCCCAACGTTATTGATAGAAAAATAAAATTATTTTTCCCTCTGAAATTTCAAGGTGATATTCTAGCTTTCTTCTCTTTATTTGTTAAAATTATGATACATAATGCACGGGTCAAAATCTCTGATCTCTTTACATCTCAATATCACTATGGTGATTTCCCCATTTTGTATTTCGCTTTCTTGGAGGATTTTGATGCTTAGAGTTCAAGGTGATACTCTAGCTTCCTCTATATATTGTAGCCAATCAAAATCTCTGAGTTGTTTACTGATATAGATATTACTGAATGTTGATTTCCCGTTCGTATATTTGGCTTTCTCTGAGGATTTTGATGTCTAAATCTTTTATCCTGTCAAACATCTTGTCATTTTAGTTCAACAAGAACCCTAAGCCTGGTGTATATCCTACATGATCTTATCTTCTCTTTTTTCCTTTTTTGAGCCGCTATGTAATCTTATCTCTGGCTTTTCCATGATTAGAACCTTTCAAGACCTGCATTTCTTGAATTAATCTAGGAAGGTTGACAATAGTAGTTCTTTTGGTTTCTATTAGGAGTATCAGAACTCTAGATTTTCATTGCATATGAGAATCGCAGATTAGTATATATTTGAAATAGATCTAGGATTTTTGTTACGTCTAGTTAGAAACTTATTTTTAGTTTAATTAAAAGGGATGAAATTTTATTAGACTATGAGAAAAGATGTCAAACCAGAGAAATTGAATAGAACTTGAATAGTTTATTCTGGTAAAATTTATCAGATTTAATGAAATTCAGAATTTATTGTTTTTATTTTATTTTGGAAAACTCTATTTTAGCTAACCACAGTTTTTATCATTTTTTCAGTTAAACTAAATATGAAGTTCGAAATATATTCTACAAAAATTCTGTCATTTGTTACAAACATAGCCTTATTAGAATACTCATGTTGGTGAAGTGTCTGACTAGAATCCTTAATAAGTTGGCCATCCCTTTGACAGGGCCACCTCAATGCTCTAAATACCACAACTTTGTTTACGGGACAATTATGATGGTAAGTCACTTTAATTAGTGGACCTTAAAAACTTTGCATTATTTATATTCCATATTTCATGATTGGAACAGATTTGTTAATCGTTGATAACTACATGAATGCCATTATTCTAATCTCATCGTCTGTTGACACCATAGAAAAGTTCACAGTGTGTAAACAAAGTTGATAATCGTTCACAGGTAATATTCTGTATCTGTATCTGATCTTTTATTCTTATGCTTCAGTATAAATTCCAATTGAAAAATGTTAGCAAGGACCAAATACACTAATTGATCTTTGAACCTTTTAAATTTATTCAATTGGCTCGATGATATAGGTACTGCTGGTTCCTGTCAAAATTATCTTCATTTGTACAGAAAAATACAGAGTCAATCTGATTCCTTGCCTAAAAGCAACATAAGCCTTCAAAATTTTTTAAACCTAGCAATTTGGCTTTTTAGTAATTCCTTGTTCAGTTAGGTAGAAAACCATAGTTAAAATTTAGAACAAATAGCTTAGATAGAAGACATATTGAAGTAGTGCTTACGTGATAGCTACCCATATATAATGGTCATTTCCTTTCTTTTATTTCTTATTCATCAGCATATATCCCCACCCCCCTCCCCCTCCCCAAAAAAAAAATCAAAAGACTTCAAAGAAAAAAGATTGTGTGTACAAACAAAGCGGTTAGATTTTTTATTTTCAAACTGGTCTTGAGTTTGTCTTGAAGTTGGGAGGTTTTATTTTAATGGATGCTGCTTGAATTTTGATGATATTTGTTGCATTGATTACTGATGGAGGGTTGACGTCTATTACTATTGTGACCAAAGCCGGGGGGGGGGGGTCCGCCATGAAAAGAAATTATCGGCAGTTCCTTTTGACTGGGTTTGTACCTTGTCACCTTGACATGCTATTCTTTTTTAAATTTTATTTTTCAAAGAGGGGCCAAATATTTGATTCTAGTGAGACCACCACATCACTGTTTTACCACTCCACTTTGAAAAGATGACGAGAGGGAGTTGAACTTTAAAAATGTATTTGCAGATGATTGGCTTTTTCTTTCTATTGATTTTTTTCTTATTCAGTTTTCTTTAGAAAATTTACTACTTTTAGTTTGATTTTTTATTTTTTATTTTTTTAAATTATAGATGAAATTATTGTTTTTTTTTTATCCCACATTAATTGTTAATTTCATTACTTTTTTATTATTCTTTTTGTTTTCTTTTAATTTTTTGTTATTGTATACAAAATTATTAACTTTCTAAACATTTTAGTGTTTTTGTTGAATAAACTTTGAATTTTATTAAATTCATCCATAAATTTATACTTATCTTAGTTAGGAATTATAAATTTTATATTTTTTAAAAAAAAAATGAACTCCCATTAAAATGAAATTTTTTTTATAAAAATTAATTGTTATTTTTAATTTAAACTACTGATAAATCATTGTGAATGATTACAAAAGTTCCTAGCCTTTTAAAACAAGAGGATATTTGAATTGAAATACTAAATGATTTTTTATTTAAAATGAAAAACATTCTGATTTTTTTTTTTTTTTATATTAGTGATCAAATCACTGCATAAACTGAGAATTTGAATCCTAATCAGTTCTTCACTCAACAATACTGAACGACTTAGTGATTAACAGATTCTGAACTATTAAAAAGTTATAAGTTTTGAATTTGAATAATACCAAAAACTATTGGTTCAAAATTAAATTGCACCAAGTTGGACGAAACTTTTTTTATAAAAAAAAAGAAAAATCAAAGTATGTGTTTGTGAATATATATATATATATAGATATATATTCAACAAATATACACGATGGTTTGGGAATCTGATTCTATAGAAGTAGCTTTGTTTTACGGATCATTTGTATTGTGCTTACGTTTTTCTAACCTCCGCCAAAAACAAAAGGTTCCCTTTCCAAGATCTTAGCCAAAAGAGAATTCAACTTTCATCCCATCAACTATCATTTTCCAAAATCTTGTCACGATCAAAATTGCATGTATCTTCAGCAAATGGGTTTGATCAGGTTTCGGGCCAAAAAAAAAAAAGAGAGAATTTGGTAGAATCAGATGCTTGCTTTCTAACAAAAGTAAATTGGTCCTATAGAGACTTAGAAGTCTGTATCAGGTGGGGAAACATCACATAATGTGGACGAGACTGCTACTCTTCTTCAACTCCAGCTGATATTTTTATGAATATTATTTAAGATTTGACCGTAATCAATCACACACACACACATATATATATAAGGAATTTCACATATTTACACGTGATTTTTTTTTTTGAAATAATTTTATATTTAATATTAATATATATAATAATTATTTATTTATTCATATAATATAGAAATAATTATATATAAAAGTAAAACTAATGTGAAAATATAAGTAATAGGTATTGATAATCTAATGTAATAATATATTATAATTATTTATTTATTTAATTTTATTATGAATTTTCTAAATTTAAGAAGAAAAAAAAGTTGGAATACACAAATAATTAATATAGAAAAACCACATGTTTAAAAAAATTAGTTTATAACAGATTAGTCTTGCTAGAAAGAGCCAACTTATATAATATGCCTTAATAATAAATTGTACCAAACGGCACGTCAATAGAATAAAAAACGGCACCAAAATCAATTTAGTTAGGCCAACCACACCGTTTTAATTTCTTTATGTTTCTGCTTTTTGGGTTTTGATATGTATGTGAAAAAGAAAACTAATCAATGTAATTACGTGGAAAAAGTAACCAAAGTTCATATAATTTGATAATTAAAATTAAAATAATTATCATGAACAAGTTGTACGTGTCGTATCATATCAAAGCTAGCGTATCTTATCCCGTCAACAATATTATTTTTTTTAAAAAAAATATTATATTTTATTCTAAAAGTAATAAAATAATATATTTTTTTTAAAAAAACCTACCATAAAATTCTCTTTTTATAAAAAAATTCAACGAAATTTAACTCAATATAATTGTTATAAATTCACGAACATAGTTATAAGTTAAGATATTATTTTTATTGAATTAAATATTATAATTTAATTGCTATCAGTATATAATATATGTAAAAAATAATATGTAACGATTCCGAAAATTTCAAAAGAAATAAATTATGAATCTAGTGAGAAAACGAAATAAATAGTTAAGATTCACATTACTTACACATAAACTTAATGTCCCAAATAGTGCTACGAAAATTACCCTTTTAAAGGAAATACAAAAAATCTGAAGAAATAAACGGACAATAAATAAAACTGGTATCCTACTCGCAACCCTCTTGTGAATCGAGCTCTAAATCCTGATTCTCTTTATTTGAAATGATTAATTAAAAAATGAGCTACACTAGCCCAATAAGAATATCACGCTACTCACCGACACAGAAATGAAGGTTGGTATAAAATTAAAACAACTAATAGAGCATTTAATTAAACAAATGTATTTATTAATAAAAAAATCATTTACCGTCCACTTAACGCAACGAGATTTATAAAAATAATCTATAGAGACAATGACATAACACTTATTATGATTTCATATACAATTGGTAACATGTACACATTATAAATATATATTTAATAAATCAAACAACCACTGTCCTTTTTCTATCAGCTTGCTGGTATCCATGAATATTCATATGGATATTCTCGCTACGCGTGAACCCTTTCCTTTAACATTTTTAATTAAATGACCGTCTCTATACCTCGTCCGGTATGAGCGCCAAACTACTAAACCTCAATACCCCGTTCGGTATGAGGGTGAAACGGGCCGTCCCGATACCCCGTCCTGTATGAGTACCAAACTACCAAGT